CTGTTTCCCAGCCACAGCAGGAAAACAGGAACTGTAGGAAGAATTTATGTACTCCACCATCTCATCTCCTTGCACACAAAGTGCTTTCCAATACGAAGACTTGCTCAGCTGCCCTGACTGAGGCAGCACCCAAAGCCCACTCAGAATGATGCTGCATCCTCCACTACCTCCAAAGTCAGACTGTGAATCCTGTACATATATAACATCTCCTTTCAGCTCCACCAACCCCAGCAGCAGACAAAGCACTAACATGCAGGCAAGGCTTACTTTGATGTGACGCTCTACATCATACACTTGAGTGAGACTGCATTATCCTATTGTACCAAGAGAGTGGTGAGGTGCTGGAACAGCTGCCCAGAGAGGCTGTGATGCCCCGTCCATCCCTGGAGGTGTTCAAGGCCGGGTTGGATGGGGCCCTGGGCAGCCTGGGCTGGTATTAAATGTGGAGGTTGGTGGCCCTGCATACAGCAGGGGGGTTGGAGCTCGGTTATCCTTGAGGTCCCTTCCAACCCAGGCCATTCTACGATTCAATGATCCTCAAACCTTCTGCTCTCTCCACTGTCTTGAATCCAAATGCATCAGTGCAGTATTCCTTGTGCAACCCAGATTAACACAAAGTTTGTTTTCTTCACACCTTTCCTTTCCCATTCCGCATGCTCACTTCAGATTGCTCCAGATCCAGTGCAGGAAACAGGCAAGAACAGCAGGAATGTGCCAGGCAGCAGAAAGGCTGAGGACAGACAGGGCTAATTAAGGAACTTGTCACTGAAAACGTGCAGTGCTGGTGACTGCATTGCAGACAGTGTGAAGATGCATTCCACTTCCTCTTACCTCCCTTTTGAATAAACAAAGATGTCTTACACACAGAAAAGGATGAGACTTATTTCCAGCTCTTCTGCCCATCACACACAGTAGTAATGGCTAAGCACATTAGTTTGATGGTTCTTTTAAACTGCTGTCTTCTGCAATAGTTGACAATGGCCACAATTTAAATGTGAACTTCCAAATTTCAGGAAAAGTGAACATCTATAATGGTTTAATTCTTCCCCAAGCTATGTCTTCCATGCTATATCAACTCAGAGAGACATCACTGTAGCCCTTCCTCCATCCAAAAGGTGAAGGCTTTCTACTTACAAATACCAATGACAAACTATCAGGGCTCAGCTAGCAGCAGGATGTCAACTTCCCCACTTCTGCCTCGTGAAGCCTCTGAGATACAGCTGTGTAGCTCGGGATTAAATTATATAAATGCATATAGAAGAGGCCCCAGGATGTCTCACCCACAGGTGACTCATCTCCACATGGACTCATCAGCCAAATGACGCGCGAGATGTACGTAAGTGCTCTCACCAAAGCTATCGAGATGACTTTATCAGGCTGCACAGCAGATTCAAGGTGCTTTAGACAAAAGCCGGACCCTTACGCCAACTCAGGTCAAGATGAGACACAAGCAAAGTTTGGAAAACAAAGGACAAGATGAACAGATCTCCTGTTTCACCACTTCACCCTGGATGAGCTGTAGGTCATAGGGGGCAATGTGTGCCACGATGCAAGTCTCAACACCCCAGTGACTCTTTCATTTGGGCAAACAGATGTGGAGGTGCTGTTCTGGGTCCTCTGCCTCCCTCATGCGCCTGTCCAGTGCTCTCACGCTCTGTTCAGCAGCTCTGTGATCAAGTCCTCGAAGCTTTGGCATCAGGCTCAGCAGCCACGATGCTCAGCACAGAAACAATATCACAGTATCCAAACCGTACAGCTCAGGGTCTTCTTGTCAGGCTCAGTGTAAAATACAAAATAACAGCTGTGCATTTCCTACAGGATGTATTGTATGGAGAGGAGCAGAAGGAAATGTGACAGGTGAAAGTAATCCTTTCTATGCCTTTTTTTCCACCTCCAGCTTCTCCTCTAGAAGGTTCTGGAACCAGTGGAAAGGTTTAGTTTGGAATCCTCATTTCTAGGCAAAAGTAAAGAACCCAGAAAGTTTCTTTGCATGACCCGGGTTATTCTGTTGAGGCATCTCAGTTTGTCAGATTGTTTTCCACTCTTGCTTTGAATGTTGCACAAGCATTGTTTCTGCTGCATCTCCTGGGAGATTTGTTGCTGGCACTGAAGTTTCACATCGAGCAGCTTTGCTCTTTCCATGCAATTTAGAGAGCTGGAACATCCCAGACAAGGATTTAAGCTGAGTGCCTGAACTGGAAAGGTCACCTTGTGCACACTGTCACCATCAGTGGATCTGGAATACCGTTTTGAAATGCCCTTCACTCTGTCTTCAAAGACTGACATACCCACGTCCACATTAGGTGCCATAAATGCACAAAGGAACAAGCGATGAACCCGTGCCATAGCATGAAGTGATTTGTAATCTCATCAACCACGTAGCAGAACAACGTTGCTGTTTCAGTCTTGCGTGGACCTACACGTAGAGATCTTCTGGTAACAGACAGGTGCCACCTACTTGCCAGCCAGCAGGAAAATCCCATGAGTTTGCATCTGTGTTACAGAAATACCACATGAAAGAGCTGCTGCACGTTTTGGAAGCCCTCACCCACACATCAAACTTCCTGTTAGTTCAGCCTCTGCCATGTAAAGATTTTCACAGCATTGAGTTGCAACATCAAGGCAAATTTGGTGTCCTGGATCCAGTTCTGGAATTCTTATCCATGCTTAGCCAAAACTGCTTAAAATAATAATAACAACAACAACAACAACAACAGAGTTTTGCTTCAGTGAAAAGCAAAGAGGGAACTTTGTGTAGACCTGACTTTAACTGGCACTACTGTCTAAAAAAGAAGATGAAAACCCTTGTGCTGGAAGTCAGGAGGGAAACTAACTGAAGAAGGAGCACATAGGAAACGAATCCCCAAGAAGTACAACAAAAGCATTTCTCTGGAGCTTAGATACACACACATATATATACATACATATATATGCTGCTGGGGGGAGTTAGGGCTGCACCCTGGGCAAGAGTCCCAGGGTCCAGAACACTGTGAAGAGTACAACAGAACCTAGCACACAGTACTGAAACAAATGAGAAGAGGCACACGAGGTTAAGGTTAAGGTTTGCATTCTAAGGCTCAACAAGAAGTATCTCTATGTCATTTTGGCACAGTTCTCCTTTTGCTGACAAGGAATGTCACAGTTAACGTTATCTATGAGGATGTTGTCATTCCTAACCCAGGGTTTTCATGCTCTGTGAGTTTACTCTTCATATCTAAAGTCAATTACTGCAGGTTGATAGGCTGTATATCCTGTGTTAATAAGAAAGCCTGAAAGAAAGGCAGCAAGAAAAAAAGCAACCTGTTCCAAGTTCAGAACGGACTGAAGAGAAAACACTAGAACAATTGGCTAAGAACAAGACCTTGGCTTACACTCCAACAAAGTGCTGAAATGTAATTACAATTACTACTACCAATTGCTTGTAAAGCCACACACAGTTACTCAGTACACAAGCAGACAGCAGTTCTACCTGGTGTTCCTCTTCCCTCCTCCCTTACCCATTTGTTTCCTCCACTCCTCAGGACTTGTGCTTCACATGAAGCAAGCTGGGCATTCACTGCTTGCTTTTCCAACAGCCAGTACTGAGTGCTTGATCAATTCAGGTTTGTATACATCACCCCAAAATAAAGAAAAATGAAAACCTATAATCACAGGCCTTGAACAAAGTCTTCAAACCAATGAAGTTAAAAATACGATCCTGAATTTTCAGTACAGAACTCACACTGGTGGTATTTTAATGAGGCTGGGGAACATTCTCAGTTGGTAGCACTTTGTGAAGCTTCAGGGCAGACATCAGGGTTAGCTGCTGCCTGCTGACAATCCGGCTCATTGCGCCTTGCTCAGAGAAGGCAGCCTTCCTATTTAACTGCAAGACACCTATTAAGCAGCTGTGATACACAGTGGTCACAGTGTAACACCACTCTGGAAACCCCGGTGGCACGGAGCGTTTGAGCATAGAAAGAGAACGTGGCCTTTAAATTGACTTCCACTTTCAATGGCATCAAGGCAAAGATCCACCTCCAGAAAGTGCCAGCTATCTCGCTGTTCAACTCCTAATGATTTATAATTCCCCTAATAGGGGATTTGCATAAAAGCCCAGTTTTCAATGATGCTTTACAAGTATACAGCAGATTTATCTTTTACAAGAACGTCAGCTTGCTTTATTGCACTTGCCTGTACTTGAAAGCTACAGTGACTGCAAATCAACAATATTAAGCCTCCTCTCCCTTCACAGAAGTGGGATAAACCTTTAGGCAAATTGCTAAGTGCACTGCTAAGCTCCTAAGCTTTATGGCGTTGATTCTCACATTGTAATAGCAATCTCAATCAGGTTGGGGGATTACTGGAAAGTTGTTGTGCTACATTATTTTCAGAACTAAACTTTGTTGTGAACCAGAATTGCAGTCTTTACCATTACCTAGAATTGTAACTCCTGATTTTTTCAGGATTTAGGAACACTGGGAAAAAATTATGAACTCAATGCTGATGATGTCATGGGAAAGTAGAACAATTCCTCAAAAGGCATAGAAATCAGGTAGTGTTCACAGATTCTTTGAAAACCTAGTGCAAATATTTGAACTACGTAGAATAGAGCCCTAATAGCAGGGTTTGATATCTAGTGAGGAATTAGCTCCTCCAATTAGCACAAAGCACACGAATCACGGGAAGGGTTCACTCCTCTGAATGCCTCTTATGGAGCACTTGCTAAGCTGACAGAAGTGAAAAGTTGATCATTCTACTTCTGAATAGCGTGAGGTGGTGAATGTTCTTCCAGGCACTTCTAGGCAAGCGATTTTAACCACTTGACCTTAGGCAGTGCTGTCTCCTTCTAATCTCATACACATCCGTGCAAAAAATCAACACTGCTTACAAGCATTTACTTTCAAAGAGATTTAAGCCCTCAGCTAAACCAAACAAAAGTATCTGTAATGCAGGAGGATAAATTCTACTGGACACAGGAAGGAACAAAAATATCAAGTCCAAGCATTTGTATACAGTACCTGAGGATCAGGATTAACAGTAGGGATGTAACTGAGCAGGGCAGAGGGAATTTCAGGAAGAAGTGGATATAGGTGGCTTTGGAAGCAACTGCACAGTTCTGCTCTCCACCAGGTAACATCTGGAAGCCATATAAAGGATAGAAATTCAGAAATCCTCTGGTAAAAAGCGGACATTTCTTGGGGATCTTCTTTAGTCTGCAAAGAATCAACAATTAAAATGCATCAGTGATGGCAGCAGAGGCTTCCTGCTCTGTGCTGCACCATGTACCTGCAGCAGCTCTTTCTACCTGCAATGATCCCAACCTCATGCATTTACCACACAACTGCATTTTTCAGTGCCTCCAAACCCAAATCCTCATTTCACTTGTAGCCTCCCAAACCATCACAACCTCCATCCCTACACCCAGACCTTCTAAAGTTGGCCCCTTACCCACAGAAAATGCACTCCTCCCCCAGTTCTGCTGCAAAACTATAAAAGTTTCCATTTCCAGGTCCAGAATCAGAACTGAAGGCCTGACACTGCTTGGGTTTCTGACACTGTTGATGGAGCTTGAGAGCAAATGCTGTCCACACCAGTCAGTCATGCCTGCACGGAAAGGCTCCCCTCTCGAGCTGGGGACATGCTCCCATACAGACTTGTCTCTGAGACCCCTCTGGTGAAGGGCAGAGGATGGTTAGCAGCACTGCTAATCAGAGTCCTTGATACACTCAGACTGCTCAGCTACAAAACTCCATCATAGATGACGATGGGAGAGTTCATAGTAAGACACTGGTACAAAATAACAGGCTTGTGACATCTGTCAGCCCACCAGCATTATTCTGAATCACTTTATATACCATATTGAAGAGGGAGAAAATGTCATAAACAGGACTACAAAGCAGTCAAACACAACAAAACATTGATTTGCAAAGGGTTTCATAAGGATAGAAACTAAAAATCCTGAAATTAATAAATATTTTCAAGATTGATAATAGCATTAACATTGAAAACTGCGCGGCTTTGTTACATTCTTCCATCATTTAGCCTCCCCTCTAAGCCCTTTGTTCTTGCAAGCTGGTTCCTAATTAGAACAAAATTTGTGACCTCAATGAGGCCCAGTCAGAAATGAACAGAAGCAGCAATTATGCAAAGCATTTTTTTCTACCTCATCTATTACAGCAGCCAGAAAGGAGAGCTCAGGCAGTGCAGGTCTGCAAAAAAGCCCCCAGATCCAGCAATGGAGATCATGAGCTCTTCCAAACCACCAGAGCCATCAAATGATCCACGTGTGCAGAGCAGCACCATGCTGCTGTGTGTGCTGCTAACGTGCCTCACTGGGAATGCTGAGCAGATTCTTAGAAAGCATTCTCTGTACAAATCCAATTCCCATCACACGTGCCTGTAAACACAACTCAATGTGCATGCAGAAATCACAAGAGGCGAGTGCATAAGCATTTGTTCTAACAACCCAAGAAAGCAAAAACATGCAGGAATATTCTAATATGCCTCATTGTCATCAGTTGTTTGGAAGGAAGACTAAATAAATAAAAACAAGGCAAACGAACACATCACCCAGAATGATGTATGCTGAATAAAACCTTGCAGAAACCCTCGATAAAGGAATGGATGCCATTGTAACCGAATAAGCCAAAAGCTGATCTTTAGACAGCTTTTTCCCTGAGAAACCAGTGGTAAATTCAGCATCGTGTGAAAGATGCACTCAGGATGTTCAGCCACAGCAGGCTTAGGCATTATCAGTGAGGAAAGCTGCAGAAAGTCAAACCTTGCCCTCTCTATACAATCAGCTCCTCAGGCTTGTAGACCAGCAACCCAGTGTCTGCTGTAAAAATCATATTCACATTGCATTCTGAAGAAAATCTATGGACAACTGTCATTCTGCTGCTGTCAGCGAGATACAGAGACACAAAGTTGGACATTTCTTTCCTAGTATCTGCATCTAATGTGTTGTGTGTAGTCTGTGAGTGTCCATCTTCAGCACTGAATATGGACTCTGCACATTGCAAACATTAGAACATCAATTTGTCATAATGCTATCAGTTAAAATTGACACTACTTGACGTGTCTTCATCATAATGAGAAAACAACGGGAACCTTCCAGCATTCTTTTAGTCAGTAGATGTATCAAGAATGCTTAGGAACAGTTATTTTTCCTGACTATTCATATTTTGAAGGTAAAGCAAGTAACTGGTTCTCACAGTGCCATAAGAGACAACAAGAACCAGTAAGTGTCACAACAGAAGAATTTTGTTAGCCAGTTCAACCATTAACTCTACAGCACGGGACTGAAGACCTGTGTGAGGAAAGTAAAGCCTGCCATGTTTCTCTCCAACCCATGCTCATGGGGAGACAGAACGAGTTGCTGTTGTTTTCTCTTTGTCTCTGCTGTGGCTGACATTTCTGAAGGACTTCTGTTGTTCCTATCAACTTAAATCTCTGTTGGGAAAAGAGCAGCAGCTTTACAAATGCCTCAAGAAAGCAAAACTGACAAAAGCCATTGTTATCACAATGGCATCCAGTAGAGCTTCTAATGAGAGAAAACCTCCGTTACACACTCTTGCTTTGAGCAACACCATTGGAATGAGTGGCACGTTCACCTCTCCCCCATACCAGCTGAACTCAACAGCACTGTCCATGGCTGCAAACAGGGCAGTAAAACAGCATTTACAATTTATACAAGGACTGGAAACTCAAATGGCTCACTCTGCCAACCAGTGATACAACCCTGCCCAGCTCCAACCAAACCTTCAGCGCAACCTGAGCTTGCAGCTTCAGGTCATTCAATTTCTTGACACTGGATACATTGAGCACACTCCGTGCCCAACAACTCTGATGCCTTGGCCAACTCCCCTCTTGAAATTAGAGAGCAAGAAGGCAAACAGACTGAAGGCAGGTCAGTCTCTGTTCCTCCATTTTCTTTGTTTCACAGGATGCTTCTTGAACTCGGTCACCTTAGACAGCAACCAACATCAAGCCCTCGCCCAGTCCAGCAGGGTGCTCTCTCTCAGTAGCCCTGGGGCTTTTGCCAAGAGATGGATGAACAATGACAGAAAAGTTGCTTATTGTTTTGGGGTTGTTTTTTTTCCAGTGGTATTTTAATCACGACATTCGTTGGCAGCATCAATCATTCACTTGTGTGACACTGGAGCCACAGCTGTCATACTTTATGATACACCATGGGAAATTCAGTCTGTACTGCTCGTAGGCAGACAGTTGCAAGCAAAGAATGCTTGCTGCAGCTGAACAAGGAAAGCTTAAGCATGTTTTTAAAACATGTTCATACCTCTTCTTCCATTTAAGAATTATGTTGGGTAGGAATAGAAAACCCAGCCCCAGTTTGCCAAAGTTACAAGGGTTGCTTTGAGTGAGCTGGGAGATGCTTGCATACCCAACAAAGCACATGGCAAGCATCTCAGGTAAGTCTATTCAATAACAGGAACATTATTTATGCAAGTAACTTGTGGGAGATCACAGGTATGCAAAGATCACTGTTCACCCAATGCACCTGGCATATCTTCCATCAATACGACATAGGTGTAGGTGTCTGCACCAGGAAGGATTAGCAAGGCCACAGCAGGTCTCAGGGCAGCACCTAACAAGCAGTATTTAAAAGAGGAAAACAAAACAGATGCATCAAGATGCTCAGAGAATCTTCTTGTCCAAATCAGGAGTCAAGAAACAGAACCAACAAATTATGGCCCAGAGTTGCTATATCATATCTTCCCTGTTTTCAGGACACAAGCTCATATGGTGCCTTATGTTACAACGTGTCACCTACACAGGCTAGAATTCAGCTTGTGCTAGACCTTTCAGCTTGTTTCGTTGTGCAAGACAGACACTGTAGTCTAGCAGGAAAGAAGGAACAGGATCTCAGGTCCTTTCTCTGGGTCCCGTCTCTTGGGAGTTTGAACAGCAAGACAGTATTCCCTCTCATAATTCACATTCTTCACGTGGTTAAAAAATAACAGCACAAAACATAATACATGTCAAAGATAGGTCTCCTCTGGACCCAGGCAAATCTCTGCACCATGAGGTTACAGCCACCAAAAAACACATTAACAGTTAATGAGCAGCAGAAACAAAAGACTGCTATGTAGAATTGGTTTCTCATCTGCACAACATAACCGAGGGCAGGTTGAGCTGGCAATTAGCTGCAAGCAGTCCTTCAGTTCCCACAGTACTGGGCTTCATTCTAATTTAGAGCAGCACTTACATTTTTCTATCCTGGCTCACTGAGATTTGAGCTTAAATTGGCATACCCAAGCCTGGTTCTTAGTGAAAGGTAGTGGTAACACCCTATGGCAGTTCTGCACAACTTGCACATTTAAATGCTCCTTACTTTAATCTTCTTTAACGTTTCTTTAATCAGCATCAAGTCCTGGGTTGGAGATTCATCTGTTGGCATTACACAAGCAGACAGGGCCAATCTGTCCTCTTGCCAGGTCTGCTGTAGACATACTGCCTGAAATGGAGCCTTGGGTCCACCTTTCATTTTCACAGGAGGTACCTGTAAATCCATTAGAACAGAATTTCATTTTTACAGATGGCTGTACTTAGAGGCTGAAGATAACCCCCTTATCTTGCTCTGTTGCTTTTAAGTAGAGCCACATAACGTATAATAATCCGGGGAGCACTCTCACTTGATTAGTGGATTAGGCTGAGGTTTAGCCAATAGGAAAATCAATAACAACAAATTAAATAGGAATAACATGTAGGCTTTGGTAAGTCAGAGGATTTATTTTGTCAGCAAGGACTCCCATAACTTGCACACTCTAACTTCCACCAGTTTCACTACGTGAAAGGAAGAACCCACATTTCCTCCCAAGTGAAGCAAGAACTGAGAACAGAGTTCCTGTCAACACTGCCCATTCATGTCACCGCGGTGCTGTGTGCTGCCTTTATTAACTGTAATGAGATAATACAAACTTAATTCAAAAAAGCAATGCTAATTGATTACATCATTCTGAGGAGCTAGTACAGGCTTTAGAATAAGACTTCATCACTCATATAAGTGATTACTAATGGTCAAAGCTATATCAGTCCCAACCCAGTGAAACCACATTGTAGATAGACTTGAGGCAATTCCTTTTTGATGGATTTTCTTACCTGTACTCCTCTGTGAGAGGCACTCTATCTACCAGTATACATATCTATCCCCTTGTTTTAGACCCAAAAGGGACCTCTGCCAATCCCACCATCTTCTAAAGATACCAGTTTAGCACCAAAGACAAGGCTTCAGGAGAATAGATAACTGATTGGCTCATAATGCTGCCCAAAGTAGAGCAGAATACATCAGAAACTGGGCTGAAAAAGAGACAGAAAAGACTAATGAGACAGCCTGGGGAGGCATCATAGTGCTGCAAAGCATCCCAAGACCTGGGTAGCCAGAGAAAGAGTGCAAAGAAGTATGTGATCATTACATACAGGCAATCAAAGCAGCCTAGCAAGAGAAGCAGCCATGTAAGACAAAGACCCCTCACCCACATCATGTGCTACATGAAGTCTGCATTAAAGGACTGCAATTCTTTGCCAGGGTTCTGGTGAATACAGAAAGCACTTGAGCCTTGTCATGGTTTATACCATTGCTATGATCTCTAGATGAATTAACAGCTTTGTATTTACTGCATACATAAAACAAAGCTATTTACAGTGAGATGAGTGCCTTTAAAAATATGCTCTTAGCACAGGGCAGGAGTGCATTTTCAAAGTGCTGTATGGGTCAGTGGCATCACTCATAATAGCACTACCAAGTCCTTGACTGCTTTGAACAGTGGTTTTGCAAAGGAACTTCCATAGCAATTCTGCTACTGGGGAATGTTCATGTTTGGAAGACTATGTTCTCCACTGTTAGAAATCAACATATCTTCAAGAAAATCAATACAGATACATTGATTTACACGTGCCAGGAAACCAGCAAGACAGTGGGATTACACAGATGCAGGTAAGAATTGGGTCTAAAATGCTTGAATTTCTCTTTCAATAAAGAAAAGTAGATTCTTTCTCACTGCTATCCAACAGCTGCTTGGGAACCTCAGGATATGCTACAATTCTATGAAATCAATTTGTGGCTTTTATCCCAGTTTGTATGAGGCACAAAGTCCATCACAACATTTGACCCTACAGTCCCAGCAAGCAACACTGAGCCCTGGAGGCTGAGGTACCCTTTCATGCTTGGAGAGAGCTGCTGCAAATCAGAGCTCAGGATTTTTTATGTGGGAGTAAAGGGAAGAAAGCTCACACTTCAGCTGCTCATGAGCTAACTATTTTCTGAATGGAAGATTCAGACTCTGGGGCTGCTCAAGTGGCAATTTTCATTAGTACTGAACTAACATTACAGAATGTTAGCAAAGTTTTAATGGAAGCTTGAACATCATTAACAATTAATAGTGTTTAAGTGGAGTTTAAGTGACTTAAAAGCCATGTGCATGCTGTCCACTCAGGGTGAAATTTACCTTGAGTGCATGAATTGATACATCAGTGTCTTTAAGCAGGGAAAAGAATGAGGCCAACAACCAAGGAGGGGTGGGGGAAGGAAAAGAAAAAGGGTTGTTTTATTTCTTCCCCTAGAAGAAAAGAGTAACAACAGATTAATAGAAGTGAGGAAAAGGGGTTTTCTTTGGAAGAGAAAAAGGTGTGAACCAAAGGACAATTAAGATGAAACAGACCATCGCTTACTTACAGCTCCCCTGACTTTCAGGAAGAATCTGTTCTTAACAAGAAGTTGTGAGAAAAGCAAAAGAAATGACTGTTTGGATGAGGACAATAATTAGTCCTCTGCTTTCACTGGTTGCTTCTGATTATTTTTAATTTAGCTCACCACTATAAAAAAAAACAAAAAATGAAAACATTTCTTTTTAATTTTACTTTTGGCACCATGCTCTTTGTAAAATACAGGTGTGATCCAGCTGGAACTTGATTTACTTATTTTAGGGCAAGTTAGGACATCATCTCCCCTTTGCTGAGCTGTTGGAAAAAGGTAATTTCAAGAACCTTTTCACTGGAGGGCAAAGCACGTCCTTTGTCACGCAGAAGCTTCTGTTGTGCACTGTCACTGCATGTACTCACCAGGGACAGAAGCCATGTCACGAGGGCATGGTAGAAGGCAGCTGCTCTCAGTGCAGTGCTATGCCTGCCCCCACTGCTCTCATCTGCGGGTACCCGGCCACAGCTCCACAGCCAAGCTGTCAGCAGCAGCTCTTCATCTCCCATACTGTCCAGTCCGGGCAACCTGTCAACAACTGGCAGATAAGAGCTTTCCTGTAAAAAATAATAATAAAAAAAATAAGAAAATGAATTTAATTTGGATTACTGGAACTGTATTCATTATCCCAGATGAATTAAACTCGTTGTCAGCACAGGAGAGGGGCAATTAATATCTAGTGAGTATTTATTAGGGAGGAAGCAGAAGTCATAGAAGGTGGGTCATTATATCAGGGACACTTTCTGGAACACCCCAGATTTTCTTGGAGAGCTGCTACCTTCATTTAGTCTCATTCTGCTGCTTAAATGGAAGACCAGGTGATCACAGCTGAATGCAGTTTGATCAAATTTATTTTACATTCTTTAAGATTCAGTGTTAATTTTTTTTTTTTTTAAATCAGTGAAACACTTCCAAAACAATCATGACAGAAGTGTCAAAATTTTCCATTCTTTTCTGCTTCATCTAACATGCCTCATTCACAGATGATGTTACATTTCGCTGAACTCATTTCTTTTCTCTACTTTAACATTGATACTTGGTTATTCAGGATGCAAATCCCTCTCCTTTGGGACCTATTCTTTAGCAAACAACCCCAAGCTAGAGTTGTGAGATTACAGTTTATGGGACCTCCATTCTTTATCTAAAGATGCAGTAGCTGCTGCTGTAACTGTTAGCTGGTTTGCTATTTCTATCTCTATTCTGCTGCCCTGACATTCCTCCTGTAAATTAGGAGGCTAGTCTCAAAATCAGAATTAATTTCCAGTATACATAAGAGCGTTGCTTCTCAACAATTATGATCCTTTAATAAGGACCCTAAGGGCTTCCCCAAGGCACCCTGTAAGCATTCATTCTAGGGGTATGGCAGGTACTTATTTACAAAGAGCTGGAGCTGTTTATGGTGTGACTGTTTCCCAGCTCCTTGTTACAGCATCACATGAAGGCTGTGCTCCCCAGTGCAGGGTCAGCAAAGTGCACCGTGACCACGTCTCCCATGCACGTCAATGCAATCAGCCAACAGACTGAACTGCTAATTGAGGTGAGAAAATTCATCTGAAATGACCTACCACAGTGTGATCCCAGCAAGCACCCCATTCTGTGAGCACAGCAAGAACACAGCGAGGGCAGAAGGGTGCTGAGGAGCAGCTGGGCAGTTGTGCTCTCAGGTGCTCCAAGGAGCCCTTAATGAGGATGCCTGCCCACACCCTTACACCAAATTAACCTTAATTTGATTTACCTGAATTCACTTTGGGAGCAAAATAAGCTAAATCCAATTAAAGCCACTTTAATTCTGAATTAGAATGTTCACAAGCAGACCCACTGTGTTGCCCAGTTATTTTGCTGCTAATGTGTCTGCCACAGACACAGTGCCACCTAAAAGCACCAAATGAAAATTGCAATTAGTACTAAGTAGTCACAAACGTTCTGATGCTGCAGATCTGCACCACTGATGTAGTCCTGAGCAGCTAACAGGGCTTTGGAAACACCACCACAGTTCTCCAAGAAAGAGGCTTGAAATGAAAGTTGGAGATTTTCAGGAAAGTATGGCTTCCTTCTGCATTCTGTATTGAAGAAGTGCTTTCTCCTTCCTGTCTCAACAAGCACGTTGGCAGTACCATAACTGACAGGCAGCGACTCCAGAGCTACAGATTAATCCAGCATCTACTGATGCTTAAGCAGCAATTTCAAACTATTCCAAACTCGTTTGGCCCACCAGCACAGGATTTTGATCACAAAGTTTACTAAGAATTGCAGTTCTCTGCTTATTGAGGTTCCTCCTGAGAGCAGTGAGGTTCTGAATGCTGCTGCTCCCCCCCCTTTTCCTCCCTCTGTCAGCCTCCTTACTCCAGCAAGGACTGAGGCATAAAAGTTAATTGCAGAAATATTAATGAACGAAAAACTGAAAAGGAGCTCATTCTACCTAACTGCAGGCAAGAACTGCTTAAGTCAGTGACATTAAGTGCTTTCTTAATATGCCTTCCCTCAGCATTGGCCAATTAGACCCATTACCCTAGTCTATCTATAAGAGAGTCCAATTTCTCTACACACTACGCTAGCTTTTGTGACAGCATTAGATTGTAAAAAAGACAAAAATGACTCAAATCCTGGGCTATTTTTGGCTGCTCTGGCTAGAATTGTGCTGTCAATCACACACAGGCTCGCAGCTGATGGCACTCAAGTACCAGCAATTACCACGGAGTAAATAAGATAAAATTCCCTATTTCCAAAGCGCTTGCTATTTTATTTTTGCAATTGCAGTTTACAATATTGCTGCTTACAACTCTTCAGCTTGGTTTTCTAATGTCCCTTCACACTCAGTTCCATCCTCGTCCACCTTAATACGAGAGCAGCGCAAGAAGCAACACCAGCACACCGTGCAGCCAAAGAACAGCGTGCTTCTTTCTGTCACTTTATAGAAAAATTGGAGTAATTCCTCCTCCCCTCCCCCCCAAAAAAAACCCCAAAAAAACCACACCAAAAAGTGGGAAATGAGTTGCAAGATACTTTAGGGATACCCATATCTTGCAGCATGCAGCTACAGAAGTGCTGAATTTATGCACAAGGAGGCACAGCCCCAAAATAAACTATATCACTAAAAAAAAACCTCAAAAGACACCATCTGAAGGGATCAATCATCTAACAAGTGCTATTTTACTCTCTTTTTTTTTTTTTAATTGGAGCTGTTTATAACCACAGCAAGCTGAAGCTTAGTAAAGGCAAGTTTGTCAGCCAAGATTAATGTCATTTTGTTTCTAATAAAACAGCTCTAATTGGTTAAATGATGCTTTTGTTGATAGGTTTTGAAAAGACCAGTTGGCATTGCTTTCTCTATGCTTCCATACCGGATTGGACAAACAGCTCTGTTGTCCTAAAAGTGGGAAACATCAAAGCTGTTCGAGGGTGGAGTGACTGAGGGGCAGCTCAGGCTGTGCTGCTGGTTCCCAGTCAGGCACAGGGCTGAGAGCAACCACCAGCAGTTGCCATCCAACTGCTGCTGCTGAAAACCGCACTACAGCACGCAGCTGGGAAGCTCACTTAGATATTTCAGAGAGCCCTAAGAAAGCAAGCAGTGTTTCTCATTAGAGTCAGCTCACCCAGCCTGCGGGTTATCCCCCAGCGGATAGGCAGGTCAGGGAGAAGCAAACTTTTTACAGCCAGTTTTGCTTTTGGAGCTAAAGAAAACTTAATCGTTTCCTTTCTAGCATGTTTTGCAATACAAGCTCAACTGATGCTAATGCTGAAGGAAGATACCACATTCAAAAGCTATTTCCTACTATGCTGAGAAGACCCTACAGCAGCAAGAGCTAAATCAAAGCATCCCCTGCGTGCAAAACAGGTTAAGTTATGCCTACAAAGTCTCCTCCTTCTTCTCTGGAAGAGGTGAATGAGGGGGAAGGGGAGGAATAGGAGAAGGAATCTTACTCTCATTGGCTAGAGGCTTACTCAAAATAATTGTTTTCAGCCATGTCTAAATTTATCCTTCCGTGTCATCCGCACCCTAGCTTGGATCACAGATTTCAGAGGCAATCCCTGATGAATGGCAAATTACTGACTGCAGAAATCTTCTGCCAAAGGATACATCTGCTGTGCGTTTGTAAATGTGAACTGATTTCTAGGTACTTCAGCAGCTCCAGCTAATTTCTCTAATGAAAATTCTGTGCTCTTATGCTCTTATGCTGAAATTGTTCCTGCTTTGCAGTGGGCAGAGCTCACAGTACAAAACACAAGCATGCTGATTATGTGGTTACCCATCTATTCTCCATAGAATTAATGTAGGACAGTAGATAGTTAGGATACATTTCACATTTCCACCTCTCTCCCTAAACCAAAGCAGATAACACTGTTTCATGGTGTCTAAAAAAATCCTGCATTCAATGGAGACGTATTGGAAATACCACGTGCTTGTTCATTTTCATTCTGTGGGGATGGAAAAACGATGACAATGCCATCTGCTAGATTATCTGAAATTCTGCAGTAAGTTGTGGAATAAACCCTGAAACCATTCAAAGAACTGCTTTGTCGTTGCCAAGTGGAAGCAATGGATAAGAATGAGGAAAGTATTTGCGTTCTGTATGCAACCGGCAGAGCATGCTGTAAGCATGAAGGCAGCATTTAATAACAAAAAGGAGAGTATGATTGATGTTAATGGGCTGAATGGTCTTTCTGGTAATGCAATTTTTACTAGATTCACTCTATACAGCACAAATGGTTTCTGAATATCAAACGTGCTGAGGTTATGGACCTGAAAAATACGATGGTGGCAAAATATTGTTGAAATCTTCTGACTTGAACTGGGCTTCAGACTGCCAAAATGGAGGAGGAACGATCCTCCAAAACAGATCACTCTGCCAGAGTAAGATTGTAGGAATTCAAAGAGGGGAATGATGGAAGCATGATTTACTGTGATCTCTGTAGATCTCCAGCCAGGGGATTACATATTGTGTGAGGTTAAGTTAAAAATAATGAAGAATATTTCTTTGCTGAGAATTTTCTTCCTATTTTGAATAGTTAATCTTAATTTTGGTCATAGAGAATACAATGCCTCCTGATTCAGAAGGAACTCCTCATTCATTCCTGGCACCACAGAGGGGTTAACGCCAGCCATTGCTTCTGCTGAAGCACAGGGCAAATCATCAGAGAGAAACATCAGCAGAAATTACTGCATACAGGAGCACAATTCAGAGGTAACACACAGATGTGACACTAAGCTCTGCTTGGCACAAGTGCCGCAGAGAGCAAAATTCCCTGTGCACACCTTCTTATGCTGCTGCCATCTGAGCACTGCCAACTGGAAATGCCATCTAAAGCAGTCCACCACATCCACCACAGTGCTGGCAGGTAAGATCAGTTATATTTCTGGCTAAAAACACAGCTGTGTTCTACAACAATCTCTTCCCACCCTATCCATATTATCCTAGTCTCAATTCCCTATAAGGAAATTTTCTTCCACTTCACTAGAATTAATAGCTCATCTGTGCTAGCAGAAGACGTATGAACCTTCTGGCATAAGAGTCAAGGACACAGCCCAAGGAATGCATTATCAAAGAGTGTGGTCAGG